TTGATGGGTAGAAACATTATTCTTGTTTGCTGCACATTTTTGGACAGTGAAAATAAGATTCTTGACCATTGGAGCATATTGCCCGAAACCAATTGTGAGAGGCAAGTCAAAAATATCATGTCACGTGGGGCCGTTCAACGGCTTTATTTCTTCTAAAATTGGAGGGAAAATGTGGCCCAAACAAGGGCATATATTTTAACCAATATCAATATTCTCATCTTAGATTGAGAATCTCATAATCTAGTCGATATTTGTTTATTATTATTTCTTTTTATCAAGGTTGAATCTCATAAAAATCAATTTTACTCTGAAATGTTACGAAGTTCGATGATCATACAGAAGTATTTTAAAATTTAGTGAGTAAAACGAGACAAAAATATGTTCAGTGACTAGTGAACACATGGTGAATGAGTAGTGATAGACTCTAACATGTTAAAGTTCAATAATCACCTGAAAGCATTTTAAAGTCTAGTGACTTACAAACACATGGTGATTAAGTGCAACATGTTGAAGTTCGATGACCAATTAAAAGTATTTTAAAGTTTAGTGAGTAAAGCATGAAGGAAGTATAAGTTTAATGATTAATGAAACGATAATAAATGGGTTAGTGTGGCTTTATGACACTATTTTGCGTGCTGGCTGCTAGCGCTTGATGTGTCAAAATTCGGGGTGTTTTTGCATTCTTCTTAACTTTGGCTTCGTTTCGCAAATATATAAATATTGATAAAGAGAACTAATAAACTCATAAAGAGAAATAATAGTGAATTTTACGAAGATGTAAATAATAATGAGTATGAGTTATGAATGTATGATTAAAATTAATATTTGATTTTGATTGAATTTATAAATTATTTATTTAAATGGAGGTTCCATTTGTAATTTAAGTTCGTCAAACTTTAATTTTTAATTATACATTTTGTATGTCGTACTACTACTATATTTATTATCAACATATTTTGTAGTACCCATAAAATCTTTACCACTTGATTTTAATTCAAGCCAATTCAAACATCCACTTTGCATATGGTGTGTGGGAGTTGGGATAAATGCAGAGTAGATGTAGAGCTTTATAATGTTAATTATGGTCATCTTGACGTCACATAAGTTTAACCTAATCACGGCTTGCTCGACCCTAGAGGAGAATCATGCCGATCCTCAATGAGGATGTCACTCGAATTGCATCTTAAATTGAAAATTCAATAATATAAGCGAAAGTAAGAGACCGAGACACGGGCTTGTATTAAAAAAAAAATGCAATAAGTCTATAGACTGTTGAGGTTAGCTCTACAGAGATCACTTCAAAATGAATCATACTGTACAATATTTTTGATAACATTGTTAACAACATGCCACGTAACACATTGTTATTGGACAGATCAAAAAATAATTTCTCTTCTCATCCAACTTTTTTTGCCACCTACAAATATCGTCAACAATGTTGTAAGAAAATATTGTACAAATGATATTTCCTTTCAAAATTGGACAGTTGTAATCTGGCATGTTTTTATTTATACATGTAGATTGAGGTTTTGGGAGTTGGCTTGGAATTGGTAAATGAGTAGATCTAATAGTTAAAATCGTCATTTGTAATTTTTTGAACTTTTTAAGCATCAGTTGTACATCAATATTAGTTTTGACATCAATTTTCAAATTTTCAGGACTTTTTTGTCAACAGATCTTTAACCATGTTTCTGACAACCTATTAATTTCACAGTGGGCCATGAACTGTTAGCACCAAAATCATACAGCCGGGAAAAGGAGCGGCATCGTTGGTACTTAGATGGTAAAGTCAATTGCCGATACAAAGTAATACGAGAATCGAATAGGGTGGAGACAAGTAAGCATAGATTTGACTGGAGTTCAAGAGTTGCATATTTTTATCTTTTTACCTACGTGCAGGGGCAGATCCATGAAAATGATTCAGTGGGACGAGACAGAATTATGTAAAAATTATGGTTAAGAACTTAAAATTGTGGACTCAAAATTATGTGGGTTAGCACCCAATAGGCCCTTATAGGGTCCGCCCCTGCCTGAGTGTCTGTGTTTATAAGAGAGGATATCTTGGGAAATAAGGATTGAGGAGTGTAATGCTAACTCCACGCATTGTCCGCCCCTTGGCTGTCGCGCCTCCTTGGTTTGGTTTTGGTAGGTTTCCTTCATGTATTTGTTTCCTAGTGTATTTGGTTTTCCTTGTAGTATTTGATTCTTGGAGATTTTCCTTTTCTTCTTCCTTTTTTTTTAATCTTTAAGGATCATATGCTAATTTGTAGGACTTGAAAACTTGTTTCTTTATAAAATATACATTTCTTCTTTAAATATACAAGCTTGCTTCACCAACATGTTTGGAAGGTAAGTGTTCGCCCGCTAGGTGGTGTCTCATGATTATCAAAAGATGATAAGAACGGTAAGGATGAATTCAAATGGAGTCTTGTACTCACCCAGCATAGCAACGAATATATGGATTGTCGATATCTTTTCTGCTCAAAGTCCACGTGGCTTTTGCTGACACGTTATTATCCACATAGGGATTTCGTAGAATCTAGAATGTATCAAATAAGGCGTGTTATTTTTATAATATAATTAATTTATAAAGACTACAATAATTTAAAAATAATAAAGAAACCTTATAAATAAAATAGAAAAAATATTTTAAATTTAGGACAAAAGTGAAAAACGATATAGATGTAAAAAGTGGCATGGTTAGTGATGTTAAACTGGCCCGCCCAGCTCAGTATCCAACACGTCCAACCTTTATGGTCGGTCGTGGTTTGGGCCCAGCCCGTGCGTGGACGGTGCGGGTCGTGCCTATAGGAGCAACTTGCTGTAAAGGAAAAGCAATGAAAAAGAAATAGGAAGATTCACAAACGTAGCCTTAGATTCAAAGCAGGTGCATCTACTTTTTGGTACAACCGTTTCGCAGAGAACTAACATATCAAAGCCAATATCCTCTACGGTGCTTACAAGTGCAGTTTGCTGCAGTTAGCTCTTTGTTCATGCAACTTCTGGACACTTGTCCTATCTATATATAAGACTCAAAAATAATTAAAAATTAGGGATACTGTAAATGTTTATAAATTTTGCCAAACTATGAACAATAAAATTCTGTCAATTAATTAATTAATAACTTATATTTTATCATGCTCAAACCCAAGCTCCAAAAGATCTCCTCCAAACCCACAATAGGACTTACTTTGACCTTCTTAACCTCCCGTCCCCAGGTCGCCCGTCTAGTGCTCTCAATAAGTGACATCAAACTAAGCGTGAGGCAATCGGCCGATGCTTGTAGCTACCTTCCTCACACATCACAACATGGCTAGATCAAGAATACGACCTCCGGTGTATCCTAATCCTACTAAGACAGTATTACCATAGTCTTAACAGACCTCGACTAAATGCATGTTTGTCAAAAATTTTAATTAATTATAAGTAGCAGGTCCCAAAAATGTGAGATTAAAAAGCAAGTAAAATAAATGAAAGATAAGTGGATAGTATTTAATGATATAAACAATTGCCAAAACAAGGCTAAGACTTTAACCCTACTTGGAGTCCCAGTCCTTACAGATGTCAACATCCTTCTAAAATTACATCACAATGCACCATATATATGTAATTATTGTTCATTACATTATTTAGGTCAACGCCTTCTACATTCCTTTACCATTGCAGACTTGAGTACTGAAGGGGGCAACGAGAACATATGTCGACACCTTTACTTTAGGTGCCAAAGCTCTATTGAATGTCTAACTCGTGCCATCTTTAAACCTTAGTTTGCACAATCATGTTGTGCGAATTTTTGCAGGATCATTGCTTCAATGAGTTTACAACCATTTTGAAAAACAGATGTACTTTCCAAGATTGGGACATGTTTTGTCCAATGCTGAAATGTATTGTACTTCATGTTCGTTTTCACTTAAAAAATTGATAAAAAGAAATTAAATTAAAGTCAATAGTAAAACCAAATAGAGGCTACAACATTTAATGGAGTAATGTTATTCAAGCTCACCAATATTAAACACACGTCTAATTGGCAATAAATGACATTAAATATAAATTCATTTAAAAATAACGTCACATGATTTATTTAATTGCATCAATCTAACTGGTCACGCCGATTGATGCTAGATATAAATATTTCATTTAAAGTGACTCATAACTTTTATCAATTTTTCAACTTCATATTTTTTCAATATTTATCAAAATTTACTAAAATTCTGATTTTTAATATTATACAGTCTTTTTTAAAATATAATTTGGGATGAAAATAAAAATCCTTTTTTTTGTGTGTGTGGCTATTTCATTATGGAAATTAAAAAATAGAAATTAGAAAAATGTGACCATAGTTCTCCATGAAATAATTGTATAAAATTGCCAACTTAAAGTTCGCGTTTTTAAGCTTAAATATCACTTTCGAATGACATCGTAAAAATCATGTAGAAACAAGGAGGGACAGGGTTGCAAAAAGTGGCGAGGAATTAATAAATTGATTTTTATTTTTAATGTTTGTTACGTAAAATTTTTGTTCACTTAAAAGTTGGTTAATCTTTATTTTCAACCACAATTTTTATTCACCCTTTGACCATATATTTTAGAGTAATGTTATTCGTAGTGAAGACTGTCAGTAGTCGTCCTATGCAGCATACACTTGACAATTTGATATTTGATATATAGATATGATAGTTATTTTTTGAATTATATATCAAATAAAAAACTGTTAAGTGTACGTCACATAAGGCGACTGCTGATAATTTTCACTACAAATAGCATTATTCTATATTTTATGGATTCATTTGCTTTAATCAATATCTCACTATTCCTAAAAGTTATTTCACCTATAGATATACTCGTGTTTATGAAATTCTATATTTAAAATGCCTAGAAAATAATTTTAAATTTTATTTTTACAAGAAAATGCTTTCATTGTTAATGCACTCAGTCGGCTTTCCCCTCGCAAAAAATAAAAAATAAAATAAAATAGAAACCCAAAAGAATTTGCTTATAATTAAACAACATTGTTACATCCGCTGGTACATAGACTTCACAGCCACTGTACAAACTTCTGCGTTTTCTACTGCAGGTAATCTGATGCTATCATCTCCTTCCTTCTCTCTCTCTCTCTCACACACACAGTCGCTTAAATTCTACACGATGGCCATGGTTTCCATTGCTATATAGTGCCTAGTTATGATTTTATTTTTTTTACAGTTCACTTACTTTCTCTATACTTTTTTTCCCAACCAAAGCCAAGGTTCAGAAAATATCTCAATTCGAGTAAGTTTTTTTTTTTTTTTTTTTATTGTATCTCTGTATATGTGTAAGTGTGTTTGCGTGTAAGTTAACAGGTTCGTGTAGTGTTGCTTAATTACGCCGACCGTGATGTATTGTACATCGTTCATAAGTCGTTGTACGTTCTTTTGGAGGGATGTCACGTTGCTCGAAAAGATTCATTTTTAGGCTCTGATTCTGAGGCGGAGCATCACTTCAGCACTAGCATGGCCCTAGGATTCTAGAAATCAGCCAAAACTGATAGTGCTTGAGGGGAATTCCTGGTGATGAAGTAGTTAATTGAGAATAGGTTGCGAACACCTTCTGTGGATCAAGACATAAGAATGGAAATTCATCTATCAGATTCTATTTGAGACAAGGCACAATTACTACTGCACGATGTGCAATAATTTTGGCAGGGTAAAAGCTGCATTTAATTTATCCAGAGTTATACAAGAAATTGTGATGTGAGAGGGGGAAATTACATGATTTTCCAGTGTGTTTTTGTTACTTTTAGTTTGACTTATATCTTATTCCCTGTACTTATTCCAACCATATACCTCTAAATAGTTGAGAAAATATGGTAAAAAATGTGTTGATATTATGGTTGTTCTTGTCAATTCATTATATTTTATTTGAAACTTATTGGTGCCTTGATTTTTTTTTTCTTCATTCACTATCTCAGGCTAGAAAAATCATGAGTGGCCGTCTAGTTGACATTCATCCCCGTGAACTCAATTTCATATGTAAGTGAAATTGTGCAGCGATGCTGCTTGGATTGATTTGGATAAGTGTATCATTGTATGGTTTTTGGCCTTCGGTTATGTTAATGAATGCATCATGTTGCATCCGAATCTAGGTGTATGCCATACATTTAATGATATCACTATAGTTTCATTGATTAGTATTCTATTTGAAAACAAGAAGCTCCTTTTAAGTTGTCTCAGTATTGTAGCTGCGTTGTCTTCAATAGATTTAAACCATGTTAGGTCGCATAAGTAGAATCTTCTGAATGGAAATTATAGAGCATTTGCATTGGGATTCAAACAGAAATTTTTTTAACTCCAAATACAATTCCCAATTCCATGCAGTAAGCTTGGCATCCTGGAATTCAAGAGTACTAGGATAGTATCATTTTACGTCAATAAATACTTGGGAATGATCATAAAATGCATGCCTTCTGATGACAGCTACTGAGTGTCATGGCTCAGGACTCTTGTCATTGCATGCCTCCCAAAGTTCTAACTGGTCTGGTCATACGAGGTCTATAAATTGATCCCAAGTGGAAACTTTGTGGAGGTGAATTTATATAGTTATTTTAGCTGTAGTAGGATATATGACAGAATCATGATCTTTTGTGGGAGACGTACATAAGTTTAATTTTGAAGCACCGTCTAGAGGAATATGGCCTTTTAATACATTTCACAAGTTTCTTTTAGGGTTGCATTTTTCGCCTCCTACTTGCTCTTCTGCGCATGAAATATGCAATAATTTCCCACACCCTTTTTTACCTTACCTTTCTAAACGTAATAAATGCACATAGTAGCTATCTAACTGTGCTATTTTGAGAAAGAATCCTGGTTCTTTTCTCAAATTATGGTTCTGTCCTTAGTGAGATAATGAAAAAGATCTCTCGCTGATTATGAGATTATTGCATCTGTAATTCTGTTGATCGGGTTTTTGCAGTCCATATCACATATTCTTTATCTTTCTTCTTTTTGTTCGAGGAACCAGGGAATGGCTTTATTATCTACTTTTGCTTCCTCTCTTCATCAATTTCATCACGTATTCACACTGTTTAAATGATTAATAAATGTAATATGTATGTAAAATATATGTGCTGTTTAAATGATTTATCATTGTAATATCTATATAATTTATATCTGCAATAGCTCAAGTCTCACATTCCCTTCTCCTTCTTTAGTTGAGGTGAAGAAACAGAGTACATGCTCTGTTCACCTTACCAATCTCAGTGATCAATACGTAGCTTTCAAGGTAAGTAACTTTGATCTTGCAGTACACGATCATGATGTAATTTCTCCGAAAAGGATTTAAAGTCTGTCTAGTTGTATGGTAGTCCGATCAGAAACCTTTCCTTCTTTTGATTACGGAAATGGTTAATTTAACATGGTCTCCAGAGACTGGGGAATTGGCTAATATAATTTATTTTGCAGGTGAAGACTACGTCACCCAAGAAGTATTGTGTGCGCCCTAATGTAGGCTTAATCAAGCCAAATTCAACATGTGATTTTATAGGTATCCAAGTGTGTCCTTGTTGCATACTATCCAACTTCACGTTGTCTCAGTAAATAATTATGTTTAATGTAGTTTCTTTACAAAACCTGGCAAATTAGTTTTAAAAGCTGATTTTTATCATTATTTTGTGATGCAATATCATCATTAATCACGTATCATGGGCAAATTAACAAAATCTAGTATCGATGCCGACAGTCTAACAACCTCTGACATTTTGGCTATTAAAATCACATGTTTAGCATGTTGCTTGACTGCTGCTTTGACTATCTGTAGTATGATCCTGAGGATTTTAGAGACTTTCCTAATATTTACCTTCTTGGTGATGTAGTCACCATGCAAGCACAAAAATCTGCTCCTGATGATATGCAATGCAAGGATAAATTCCTGATTCAGCATACAATTGTTCCGTATGGCACAGCAGAAGAGGAGATTACGTCTGGCATGGTACTATTGCTCTAAAGTGAATTTTCAATAAATATCTGCCATTTATCTTGTGTTTCACAACTAACGTCGGAATATTTTCTGTGGATTGCCCTTAGTATTTAATAATTATTTTTTTTTCGTGGCAGTTTGTAAAAGATGGTGATAAATATATTGAAGAGACCAAGCTTAGGGTTGTTCTTACTAGCCCACCCCATTCTCCCATGTTGCTGCCTGTTGATGGAATTTTGAAGCATGAACAACCATCTATTGACACTTCAGTACCGAAAGACAAATTGCAGAGTAGAGCTGAAAATTTACCCTCTTCACAGACGGTAAGAAATTTTAACATGATTTTTGTTCTAGCATTATGTGATTGATACCAAGTGCCAACATTCAGGATGCTTTCACTGCTTGCCTGCCATCTAAATTTGATGAAAATTCCTTGTTAATTGTTTTATTTTATAACATTGTGCTATTGGTTGTGCAACATGCAGCTGTATTTCACACGTTCACCACCCTTCTCTAGTTTTCGTTCATGTTTGTGAAACTATACAAATTTTTAAAGTATAATTGCAGAATAAGTGGTAGTTACATTCCCATTCCAAAGTCTGAACTCACGGACTGTTTTTCTTTACGAAATATCTCTGATCATATTGTAGAATCTTCCCCCTATTGACCTGATCCAATTGTAAAGTACCCCCTCTTTTATGCAGCTTGTTAAGAACATTAAGGATGCCAAGATTATTTCACACACAGAAGATCATATATTGCCCAATGTTGTGGAAGATGTGAAGTCTGTCCCTGCTAGGAAAGATAAGCTTAAACCTGACAAGGACAAAGATTTTAAGCCAGACACTTACGATGAATCAAGACAAGTGAAGGATGTGGAAGAAACAAAGTTGAAATTCACAAATGATATTGAGGAGCTGAAATCAAAAATGACTGCCTTGGATTCAAAACTTATTGAGGTCAGTTTCTTTACCATGTCATATAAAAATTTGGGGGTGCTAGGCAATTTTGGGGCTGCATATATTTTAATCTTAGGAAGTATATGCAAATAATATTACGATGATGACAAAAATTTTGATCTGCGAATCTTTTCAGGCCCAAGATACCATCTCGAAGCTAAAAGAAGAAAGGAGCAGCACCATTCATGAGAAGGAAATATTAAAGCAAGAGTTGGTTAGTGACTTCACTTCTTTATCGTATTTTCACCTTTTTTTATTATATATAGGATAACCGCATGCTATGTTCCTTGATTGCTCTCCCTACTTTCTCGTAATGGTTGAATGGGTATCGAATATATGAGAGATAATATTCATTTCTTTTTTTGGGGTAATGTTCTTTTATATACTAACATTACCGTCATGAACTACACGAGGATGGTTTAGGTCATTGATCCAAGTGACGGCTCTTAAGTATTGGCCAAAGTTTTCAAATGCTAATAAGTAATTTTATTTTCTTTTGCTTGTTTGGAAGAAATTATAATGAGATCATAACAAAAAAGGAGTAATGGGTCCCACAGAATGTGTGAATAATAAGTAGGTACCTATTGTATACGCGTGATTATAAAGAACTTATAATTTTTCCTAAACATGCAAGAAAAATGTAACATAATTAGACATGTCTAATGACAAAAAGTTACTTAAAACTAACTTTTCCTTTTTGTAAGCTTAGATGAAATCTAGTCGGGGGCTTTAATTCAACAATGTTGTCACTTAATCTTTCTATAACACCTGATCTTCATAGGTAACGTTGAGGAGAAAGACTGGTACAAGAAAAGTTCAAGTTGGTTTTCCCCCCTTGTTCGTTTGCATGGTCGCGCTTATTAGTCTGATTGTTGGATTCTTATTGCGTGCATAGTACAAGAGTTTATGCAGTTGTTGCTGTAACTATTTAGAAATGCTCGTGTAGTGATATTAGCATACTAATGGGTGGATCACCATGCCCTTCTTTCGTACTGCGATCTTCAATGATAGAAATCTTCAACATAAATGTAAAGAGAACTAGTTCGTTGAATAAAGCAAGAATGTAAGGCCCCATTTGGTTTGCGTTTCGATTTAGTTTCGAGTTTTAAATTCATTTTCAATTTTCTGTTTTGAGAGTGTGTTTTAAGAATGTAGAAAATGCAAGCCTAATAAGCAAGAAAAAGACATTAAAACGAGAAGCTAAAGACTATTCACCCAATTTTTCCAATTCGGCACTAGAATATTAAATACAAATTCTCTCTGTAAAATAATTTCGGACTAGCGCCCAGAAAAAGGGTTATAAAAAGCATGATTTCATAAGAAATAACGAAAGTAAATAGAATCCTATTTTTTCAAAAAAAAAGGATAAGCACAGATATAAACAAATGAAAGCCAAAAACTGATTATGTACACCGGGCAAATTATCTAATTCAGTGTTCTAGCAGCTTGTTCGAGTTCTTCAGGGAAACGATGCAGGCTTCTCTCGGTTGGTGAGCCTGGTACGAAAGGAACAAAACCACGACCCCCAAAAACGGGACGCATGAAAGAATTATCGAATTTTCTCCAATAATAATGGACAGTACGAGTGGGTCTTGTTAAGAGCATCCGTAAACTGTTCGGACGGGGCACATTTTGGCCAACTCCACTAGCTTCTGAAGCCTGCCCGTTTGTTATGTTTTGTCCGTATAGATCAGTTAAGGAATCCTGCTCATCGCCTAGAAGTGGCACTGTGACGGAATGCGGGGTAATTGGCTCCGATGAATTCATACTGGCTAATGGTTTTGATGAAGGCAGTAAGAACCTCACCAAAGGTCTAGTTATCAAGCCAAACACCTGCATAGACAGAAAAAGGCCAAATGTTCATATCCTATGACAATAAATGAAGTATACGTCATGTATGTTGAACCACATCATCTAAAAGTTTAAGAATGAGAGAATAAGCCCTTGTTTGGCCCCCATTTCTTATTCACAAACTCATTTCAACCACACATATTCTGGGACTCGCAACTTTTATCAATTTTTCAACCACATATTTCATCAACTTTTATCAAAATCTATTAGAAGTATATTTTTTATCAAAACCACACCAGGGCTAAATTCCTTAGATTATTGAGCATGCAAAGGTCCAGCATTCAAGTCTTGGAACTATCAATTTAAAAAATGTGCATGTATCAGTAGACGAGGTAGTTCAAACATTTTGGATTGCACTATGTGGAATTTTATAAATGAGGATGGTGGAATTTCCAAAGAAAGTCTCACTACTCTTTTATTGTTGACTTTCTTCCTTTCCTTTTCTTAAGAGACTAACTCTTCCCACATGCTGACCCAAATTGTATATCCTACAAAGCAGTTTTTAGAAGCTTGAGATATCTTACCACAGTGCTGAAAAGAACAACTGTTATGGTACTGGTAATCATGATGGCAATCTCTCGTACATTGGTGTGTCCCAAACTTGTAAACTGCATCGATGAAATTCAAAATTAGCTCGATTATTCCTACATATGTAATACAAACTAATCACCCCTTTATTCATTCCCGTAACACGTCAATAGGCAGTAATATCAAGCTATGCAAAGGTCATAGAATTGTTTGTGAATCTTGAAGAAGGTAAAAGGACTTGAACATAATATTTTGATAACTAGGATTAATTAATGACTTGTTATTTTTAAATTTAATGTGTTTAATATGAATCCTTGGTGGTTAAAATTATTTTCAGTTGCAAATATTTTTAATGAACAATTCAAAATCAACGGCTCTGTCCAAACGAGAAATGAACTGGATCAAAACAAACAGAGTACCAACAAAAATTCTACAAAAAGAACCAAGTAGTTCCATGTAGAGTGATAGAACCAATACCAACAATAGTTTGATCCGATTCTTTTCACACTTCAAAAAAATTGTTCAAGTGTCAGTCAACACCTCCATATATTTCTTACTTCACTTTCATACTTCCAGTTTTAGGCGACATAAGTGTTGATAAATTCCGTACTGTTCAAAATACTGTGAATGCACTTTCTGATAAAGGGGGCAAAAACCATCATATTTCATTGAAATAGTCGTAGCTAATTATTTACCTGTTTATAAGCAAGAGCAATCGAAACAGCACCGCGCATAAGACCAGCCCACCATATTGTAATCTGCAAATCACAAATGGGAGCATTGTTAGATCGCCAAAACAAATGAAGGGTGATGTACAATTGAAATGATAATTTTTGAGCTCGTACTTGCTTCTTAAAGTCGATTTTCTCAGATGGGGACTTCTTGGTCAAGTTAGACAGGAATGATAGAGGAAAAACGAAGGCTGCTCGTCCAACCAAAACCAATCCCAATAGAACTCCACTGACAGAAATTGACGTCTTTGGGCTGACAACAAACAAAATAGTTAATAATTCTAACCAAATAGTATACAAAATCCCTTCTTGTATTGGGGGCCAATTTCACTACATCCAAAGAAAAGTAGAGACCCATTATTTATAAGAACAATTTATTCAGAATTAGAATCTATATCAAAGCACAGCCAAGCCTCTAATAGGATAGTACTTCCTCTCTTCTTTACCATAGGCAGAAGTTATCTTTAAAGAGCCTCTAATAGGAGACATTAGCAGTTGCCACAGAAGCAGAGGCAGCATTCAAAGATCATAAAAAAGAGAGGAGTGGTTTCTGACCATTAGAACCCTAGAAGGAGGAGCATACCTGCTACTTACGAAATGCCACTTCTCAATGTCCAGAGCATCCATGCCAACATAAAGAAATATGAATATTTCAGCAACAAATGACAATGTGGCAAAGGTGTGCCTGCAGAATAGTTGAAGATACAAATCAATAAAAAACATCAATTAGTATGTGACTTGAGGTTTGGGAAGCGTCATAAGCAACAATGTATTCTAAAATTTTATGTTAAGATAAGGTAACGCCATACTTGGTCGTGATTCTTGAGTTCTCGGTGACATTATGCCAGGTGTAATGTGACATCACAATCCCGCAAAAGAACACAGTGAGAATAGCACTTAAATTAAATAACTGCACAACGTATCAGGCAGAAGGAAAAGGTTCACTTGTTAAATAAGAACACTTGGTAAAAGCCTCTTACAAGTTACCGAAGAAGAATGCCAACTTCTATAAGCTCCTTAAAAGTAGTCCAGAATACTTACTTCGGAAAGCATGTATGAAAGATATGCCAAAAGCATCATAATGGCAACCTCACGATCTGTGGAATGCCTGTAGTTTATCAAATAATTAGTCACAGAAATTAGAGAACAAAACTGGTGCAGAATCAGCCTTTATCTTAACAAAAGGTTTCTTTTAACATATCAAGACAATCAATCAGAACATTAATGAAAACCTCTTGCAATTTGTAAATTCATTATGTGGTAGAGTGGTAATATGGAATACGCACATATCTGACCCATTCAGGTTCAGAAAGTTGGCCTATAGACCCTTATCTGACTTGAACTGATTCAATCGAAAATAAAAATTCACATATCTGGCGCACAAAAACTTAATGATTTTGTTGAAAAATTACAAGACCTAAGAACATTTTTGAACTCTAGTGCAAACTTAAATTTGATGGGAAAAGAAGATAACAAGTATCAACTTCAACTTAACTAAGGCTGAGAACAAAATTACGTGTATGGATATCCTCACAAACCTTCCAAAGCAGAGCCTCTTTATGACATATGCACTAAGCAATCCAGCCTGCAGCAGATGAAAAAATGTGACAAATTACACAGTTCAGAAGAATTGAGAAGCTTAAACTCACAAGAAACCTCCCAGAGAAAGTGGGAGGGAGAAAGGGGGGGGGGGGGGGGGGGGGG